TCCATCCATCCATCCTACACATATCCTTTTGTCCATCTGTCCATTCATCCATCCATCCATTTTCCTATCACATGTCAATCCATACATCCATCCATCCATTCTCCTACATATATCCATCCATCTATCCGTTCATCCATCCATCTGTTCGTCCGTCTGTCCTCCCATCCCATATCCATCCATCCTCCTACACATATCCATGTATCTGTCAATCCCTTCATCCATCCATCCTCCTATCACATATCCATCAATCAATCAATCAATCAATCAATCAATCAATCAATCAATCAATCAATCAATCAATCAATCAATCAATCAATCAATCAATCAATCAATCAATCAATCAATCAATCAATTAATCAATCAATCAATCAATCAATAAATCAATCAATCAATCAATCAATCAATCAATCAATTAATCAATCAATCAATCCATCCATCTGTCCATTCTCCTACACATATGCATCTGTCAATCCATTTATCCATCCATCCTCCTATCACATATCCATCCATCCATCTGTTCATCCGTCTGTCCTCCCATCGCATATCAATCCATCCATCCATCCATTCATCAGTTCATCCGTCCATCCTCCCATCGCATATCCATCCATCCATCCATCCATCCATCCATCCTCCTACACATATCCATGCATCTGTCAATCCATTCATTTATCCATCCATCCTCCTATCACATATCCATCCATCTATCCGTCCATCCATCCATCAATCAATCAATCAATCCATCCATCCATCCATCCATCCGTCCGTCCATCCATTGACGATGGATGGATGGTTTGATGGATGGATGGATGGATGGATACTTTAAAAATGCAGAGGAATGGATAAGGTGATGGATGGATGGATGGATGGATGGGTGGATGGATGAATGGATGGAAAACTGGTTACTTTACAAATGCAGAAGGATGAATAACGTGATGGATGGATGGATGAATGGATATTTCAAAAATGAAGATGGATTAATAAATTGACTGTAGGATGGACGGATGGATACTTTAAAATGCAGATCAATGGATACTGTGGATGGATGGAAGACTGGATGCATTTCAAATGCAGAGGGATGGATACTGTATTTGATGGATACTTCAAAAATGAAGATGGATTGATAAATGGACTGTAGGATGGATGGATGGATGGATGGATGGATGGATGGATGGATGGATACTTCACAAATGCAGATGGATAATACTGTGATGGATGAATGGATGGATGGATGGATGGATGGATGGATGAATGGATGGATGGGTGGATGATACTTTTAAAATGCAGATGGATACTGTGATGGATGGCTACTGTAAAAGCTAAATGCAGTCACAAGCTGTTAATATAAAAGTTTCTCAGCTAAACTGCAGTCAATTTTGACCTTCTGAAGTTCATAAAGATAATTGTCTGAAGGTTAAGCACATCCTTTCACTGACTATTTGTATAAGTGGCTTCATTTATTAAAACTGGTCTGATTTTGCACTCTATTGACAGAAAGTGCTATTAATATTTGGTATGTACAATTACAAATAGACACACACACACACACACACACACACACACACAAATATAGATTGACATTCCCATAAGACTCTTCACCGCTGCCAGAACGAAATTATGGATCACTCACCGCTGCCTGCAGAACAGATTAAACAAACAAGTGTCTTCAGTCACAAGCAGATTTACGACTGCACACAAACACACCCTGAGAAAGAGTCACACACAATGGCTGAATATCACCAGAGATGAACTTTCAGTTGTGCAGGTTACAAATCTATCATTTGTGCAGAATATTAAAGTTGTGTTCTGTAATTCACTCCCACTGCAATGCGTCCGGCTGATCAAACGCGTGGAGAGATTCATTTCCCAGACTTCCCTTGCAAACAAGATTTTTGATAGCGGTTTAATGTCCGGTAACGTCCGCTGTGTTGCTTGTAAAGGAAGTAGTGAACTGAGTTAAACTAATTTTGTTCCATCATAAGTACAGCACCGCTATATCTGATTACAAGAGTGGATCTTAGATATACTGTATGAATAGCAAGATGTGAAAATAGTAAGCAGATCATTCGGGTTGTACCTTTTTGTTTTTTATTCATCTACTTAAAAGATAAACTACTAAAATATACAGTATAGTGCAAAAGTTTTAGCCCAACATTAAATCTGATTTACTGATGGATATACAGTTGAAACAAGAGGTTTATATTCACTCTAAAAAAATAAACATAACCATTTATTAAATAATGTCTGATGTTATATCATACTAAACATTTATTGTTTTAGGTCCGTTAGGATTACCTAAGTGACTTACATTTGCTAAATGCTAGAATAATAAGAGACTTTTTGTTGTTGAAAATTGTTATTAATTTCTAGACAGTCAAATGTTTACACTTTTCCTTGTTTTTTTTTTTTTTTAGCTTTGCTTTTAAACTGTATAACTTTGTCAAATGTTTTGGGTATCCTTCCACAAGCTTCTCACAATAGTTTAAAGGAATTTTAGCCCATTCCTCCTGACAGAATTGGTGTAACTGAGTCAGATTTGTTGGTTGTCTTGCTCGCAAAGGCATTTTCAACTCTGCCCACAAATTTCCGATAGGATTGAGATCAGGGCAAAAACTATGTTTTTGTTAATCCAATGGTGTAAGTTTGAGTGGAACTATCTGTTTGTTCATTCAATAGTGTCTGTTTCAGGTGGAACTATCTGTTCAACCAATGGTGTGAGTTTGAGTAGATCTATTTGTTTGTTCAACCAATGGTGTGAGTTTGAGTGAAACTATGTGTTTGAACAACAAGTGGTGTGTTTCAGGTGGAACTATTTGTTTGTTTAATCAATAGTGTGAGTTTGAGGGGAACTATCTGTTTGTTCAACCAATGGTGGGAGTTTGAGTGAAACTATGTGTTTGAACAACAAGTGGTGTGTTTCAGGTGGAACTATTTGTTTGTTCAATCAATGGGGTGAGTTTGAGGAGAACTATCTGTACAGCAAGTAGTGCGAGTTTGAGTGGAACTATCTGTTCAACCAATGGCGTAAGTTTAAAAGGAGCTATCCGTTTGTTCATCCAATGGTGGGAGTTTGAGTTGAACTATCGGTTAAACCAATGGTGTAGATGAGTTTGAGTGGAACTATCTGTTTGTTCATCCAATAGTGTCTGTTTCAGGTGGAACTGTCTTTTCAACCAATGGTGGGAGTTTAAGCAGAACAATTTGTTTGTTCAACCAATGGTGTGGGTTTGAGTGGAACAACAAGTGGTGTGTTTCAGGTGGAACTATCTGTTTGTTCAACTAATGGTGAGAGTTTTAGCAGAACTATTTGTTTGTTCAACCAATAGTGTGAGTTTGAGTGGAACTATCTGTTTGTTCAACCAATGGTGTGAGTTTGAGGGGAACTATCTGTTTGTTCAACCAATGGTGTGAGTTTGAGTGGAACTATCTGTTTGTTCAACCAATGGTGTGAGTTTGAGTAGACCTATTTGTTTGTTCATCCAATGGTGTGAGTTTGAGTGAAACTATGTGTTTGAACAACAAGTGGTGTGTTTCAGGTGGAACTATTTGTTTGTTCAATCAATAGTGTGAGTTTGAGGGGAACTATCTGTTTGTTCAACCAATGGTGGGAGTTTGAGTGAAACTATGTGTTTGAACAACAAGTGGTGTGTTTCAGGTGGAACTATTTGTTTGTTCAATCAATAGTGTGAATTTGAGTGGAACTATCTGTTTGTTCAACCAATGGTGGGAGTTTGAGGAGAACTATCGGTTAAACCAATGGTGTAGATGAATTTGAGGGGAACTATCTGTTTGTTCAACCAATGGTGTGAGTTTGAGTGGAACTATCTGTTTGTTCAACCAATGGTGTGAGTTTGAGGGGAACTATCTGTTTGTTCAACCAATGGTGTGAGTTTGAGGGGAACTATCTGTTTGTTCAACCAATGGTGTGAGTTTGAGGGGAACTATCTGTTTGTTCAACCAATGGTGTGAGTTTGAGTGGAACTATCTGTTTGTTCAACCAATGGTGTGAGTTTGAGTGGAACTATCTGTTTGTTCAACCAATAGTGTGAGTTTGACTGGAACTATCTGTTTGTTCAACCAATGGTGTGAGTTTGAGGGGAACTATCTGTTTGTTCAACCAATAGTGTGAGTTTGAGTGAAACTATTTGTTTGTTCAACCAATGGTGTGAGTTTGAGTGGAACTATCTGTTTGTTCAACCAATAGTGTGTGTTTGAGGGGAACTATCTGTTTGTTCAACCAATAGTGTGAGTTTGAGTGGAACTATTTGTTTGTTCAACCAATGGGGTGAGTTTGAGGAGAACTATCTGTACAGCAAGTAGTGCGAGTTTGAGTGGAACTATCTGTTCAACCAATGGCGTAAGTTTAAAAGGAGCTATCCGTTTGTTCAACCAATGGTGCGAGTTTGAGTGGAACTATCTGTTTGTTCATTCAATAGTGTCTGTTTCAGTTGGAACTATCTGTTTGTTCAATTAACCTCTCTAAGAAACCAATTCAGCCCAAAATACTTTCAAATTCCAGCCATTCTTCTCATGTCTACATCAAGTACTGGTCTAATATCCCATTTAGCAGAACCATTGTGTCTAGATGCCGTCATTAGCTCTGATTAGCGCCGCACATTCATACAGGTTCAGTCTCAGCGATGCGGCGTCTCTCAGACGGATGGTGTCATAAGTATGATTTGGGATCATGTCCAGAAATGCCATTGCTGTCATCCGTCTCGCCTCGCGTTGGTCTGAGCGGCACATCGGGAACAAATATTGCCTGCGATGAGTCACAAGCCTGAGTAATTAGAGATGGCGTCTTCCTGAGTCACGGCTGCGCGTCTGTCGCTCTGTTACTGACTCACTGGATTATGTTCATTGAGGTTACCACGGTAAACACACTCCTTCTTCACAATGGGCAAGTGGCTCAGATTACTGTGGTATGGAGAAATGCACATGAGGTTAGATTATGCAACAGTGCAAGCTTTAACTGCCAACAAAGTTTTCTGTGTGTTTTTCAGGTGATGGAATAAATGATGTCGGAAGTTCAGGGCACTGTGGAGTTTTCACTGGAGCTGCACAAGTTTCACAATGTGGATCTTTTCCAGAGAGGGTAAGTGTGTGTGTATGTGTGTGTGTGTGCTCTTCTGCCTCTACAATGAAGGGCTTTGTTGAAGCGGGCATGGTTTGGGGTGGTTTCTGTGTCCCTATAAAGTGCAAGTAGGGTTACAGAAGAAAAATCTTAATTCAATGTAGAAAATTGAGGTGCAAATCACTACGCGTTCTGATTCCAGAGTCACAATTTGATTCCAAATGATTATTTTTCCTATTTCTTTGTCTGCTAAAGTACATCTGCAGCTTTACATTTCAGAATTGAAGTTTGGACGCTTTTGTTTATGATTGTGTGTGTTTTTTTGGGGCCATTAGTGACACCAAATGAAATCAGCAACCCGATTGGCTCAAAAAATGTATTTAGTCAACCAGTGGCGGAACTACAGTATGTGCTTGACCAATAGCAGACAAGGAAAGCATGCTTATTGAAAACAATAAATTTGGTACTTCACTTCCCTAAATGTGGATTCGGCATCTACATATATTACAATTTTTATTTGTGTCTGTAAATTAGGGCTGCAACGAGTAATCTATAATTTTTAATAATGAAATTCGTTGTCAGTGTATGCCGTTGTCAATGAATGTCAATGAGTACAACCTTTTTTTTTTGCTTTTTGTTCATTTATGTTTTGGATAATTACAGAAGTTTTACTAAGAGCAAACTTCGTTTTTCATGTAAAGTTTAAAATGTCAAAATAAAGGATCAATAAACTCGATACAGGCGAGGCAGTGGCGCAGTAGGTAGTGCTGTCGCCTCACAGCAAGAAGGTCGCTGGTTTGAACCTTGGCTTAGTTGGCGTTACTGGGTGGAGTTTGCATGTTCATCCTGCCTTCACGTGGGTTTCCTCAGGGTGCTCCGGTTTCCCTCACAGTCCAAAGACATGCGGTACAGGTGAATTAGGTAGGCTAAATTGTCCGTAGTGTATGAGTGTGTGTGTGTGAATGTGTGTGTGGATGTTTCCCAGAGATGGGTTGCAGGTGGAAGGGCATCCGCTGTGTAAAACCTTGCTGGATAAGTTGGCGGTTCAGTCCGCTGTGGCGACCCCGGATTAATAAAGATACTAAGCCGACAAGAAAATGAATGAATGAATAAACTTGATACATGGCTTTTGTATTGTTTTAAGTATGTTTTTATACATTTATAATGCCCTCATTTATGGTTTTTAAATGTAGTTATATTAAGCAAAATAAAAAGGAGTTTAGATTTTATCTGATGTATCAAAAAAAGAATCGCCTAACTAATCAATTATCAGAATAATCGTTAGTTGTAGCCCTACTGTACATACAATCTATTAAAAAAGTAATAATTTAAAATAACTAATTGTTTTTAGTATCTTATATTTTTATATAAAATAATAAAATATACACACACTGGCCTTTTTATTAGGTACTTACTAGTACCTTAAAAGTGTGGAGTTGGACCCCCCTCTCCCTTAATCCTTCATGACATAGATTTAACAAGATACTGGAAAATTCCTCAAAAATTTTGATCAGGCAAACTGTGCATGGCGTTGACACGATGCTCAGTTGGTACTAATGGGCTCAAAGTGTGCCCAGTAAATTTTCCCCACACCATTACACCACCACCACCAGCCTGAATCGTTGATACAAGGCAGGATGGATCCATGCTTTCATAGTGTTGATGCCAAATTCTGACCCAACCATCCGAATGTCACAGCAGAAATCGAGACTCACCAGACCAGGCAACGTTTCTCCAATCTTCTATTGTCCAATTTTGGTGAGTCTATGCGAATTGTAGCTACCGTTTGCTGTTCTTAACTGACAGGAGTGTCCCCTGGTGTGGTCTTCTTCTGCTGTAGCCCATCCGCCTCAAGGTTGGACGTGTTGTGTGTTCAAAGATGCTCTTCTGCAGACCTCATTTGTAACGAGTGATTATTTGAGTTACTGTTGCCTTTCTATCAGCTGGAACCAGATAGGTCAGGCCATTCTCCTTTGACCTCTGGCATCAGCAAGGCATTTGTACCCACAGAACTGCCACTAACTGGATATTTTCTCCATTTCGGACTATTCTCTGTAAACCCTAGAGATGGTTGTGCGTGAAAATTCCAGTTTCTGAAATACTCAGACCAGCCCACCAACAACCATGCCACATTCAAAGTCACTTAAATCAGCTTTCTTCCCCATTCTGATGCTCGGTTTGAACTGCAGCAGATCATCTTGACCATGTCTACATGCCGAAATGCACTGAGTTGCTGCCATGTGATTATAAATTTGTATTAACGAGCAGTTTGACAGGTGAATGACATATACACATACACACACACACACAATATATATATATATGTATATATATATATATATATATATATATATATATATATACACCACCTTTTTCTTAAGTAGAGAGTTTATCCTTGCTAATAAAGAAATCTTATTTTATGTAAACATTGGTTGACCTCAATTCAAATGACTTGGAAATTAACCCACAATCCATCCACCCATTTTAGGCCATGCAAATGTTAAAAAAAAAAAAAAAAAAAAAAATGTCTGATTGTGTTGTTTGCAAAAAGAAAACTGACTGTGATGTGGGCAAACCGCAGCTCTCTTGTAGTGTGGATTGGGTGTTAAAGAGCATTTTCATATACGTCACACTAGCGTAGACCATGAGGTGTCATGCGAAGGTGTTCGCTCGACTAGACTGCTAGATTCATGATTGATTTTCTTTGCTCTTTTTGTACGTTATGTTCTTGTCGACGGTTCAACCCGAATCCATTATAGCCTTGCTGTGAGCAGCCGGTGAAATCCACAGGGAATTCAATGGGTCACTGATTTATAACCATGCAGAATACAGAGATCTAATAGGAACTCATTTGACATTCAGAGACGATACTGCACTGTCATGACTCCTACATGACTCTTTACTATAGTGAGTTCTAGTACTGCTAGACCAGTGTTTGGACGAGTGGTTGACATTAAAGGGGTGGTTAGTTACGATATCATATTTGAAGCTTTAGTTGATGTGTAATGTAGCTGTGTGAACATTAACAACATCTCTGAATGTTAGACGTTCTAAGTTCAATGCAAAGGGAGACATTGGCTTTTACAGAGTTCGCTTAACAAAGCCTACAGCAAACGAAGCTTGGAGACTACAAAAAATACATCTGGGCTAGTGAGATCACAAACACTTCCGATTACACGCATTCACCAAGCGCATACACTCTGAGCAGCAAAGGGGCGTGGCCAGAGGCGCTGTAATGTTACAGCAGTGAAAGCTAAAATGCCGTCCAAACGCTGATATTTCCACAGAGCTTCTTCTGTTTTGTATTTGGGCTTCCAAAGTACACTACACAAAAAGAGAAAGCGCTTACAATAAAATTTTAATTATGTTCCAGATAATTATAAAATATACACAGCTAGCATTTGACAAAGGACAGCCTCCAGAATCTCAATTCAGTGCTGAATTCGGCTAAAAACTCCTCCAACCGACGAAGCTGTGGATTGTGAGCCACAACCTGTAAGTAAGTAGAGTAGCTAATAGCTTAGCTCACTACATTTTTCAAGTAGATGGCCCAACAATGTGCTTCATATTACTTTGACATGCTTATTCTGAATATATGTGAAAGACTCTTGTCCGATTTCATTTTAGAGAGCAGGCATTAGGTTCAGCTGTGTGCTCTGTTTCATTTTCTGTTTCATTCAGGCACAAACTCCTAATGCTAACAGCTACTCTGACTGACAGTGTTTACACAGCGCAAAAGTGTGTGCGTGTAGGGGTGTGGTGCTTTTCCTGGCCAATCTGCGAATCCCAGCACATCATGTTAGCTGACCAATCAGAGCCTCTTGAAGGCAGGCCTTTCAGAAGAACTAGGAGACATGACAGTCGTTTTCATGTTAGCAGAGTAGCAGTATAATCAAAGTAAGATTTTCTACAAATAAAGCATGAGCACGCATTGCTTTGCATCTTATAAACACAACCAAGACATAAAAACACACTCCAGACCACCCCTTTACAAAACTAGTTTGGGAAAAAACGTTTGGGAAGATTTAAAGGGTCACAAAACACAAGTTACATGTGTCCCACGCTGCTATAAACACTATTAGGACACATTTATTCCACAAAAAAAGTAAAAATTGGTTGTTTTTGCATTATTTCAGGCAAAATTGTTCTTCCGGTTAGATACAAATTTTTGAAGCCACATCACAGAGATTAGATCCTTGCATGTATTCCAGCGTGGAGAGTCGGTATCTGTATCGGCAAGTCCATCGGGACGTCTCTGAGTGTGGAGCAATAATTCATGTAAAAGGCTTGGTTCAAACCAATCACCACGCTCTATTGTGTAGTTACAGTCGACAAATTAGGAATTTGCCAAATAATTTGATTACTGATGTCCAAGTAAACAGTCACTGTCTTTTTCCTCTGTGTCTGTGTTTGTTTTGACTCTGTGAAAATCAGCGCGTGCCCAAACGGAAACTCCCATTTTTATGCAAAACCTTCCCTCTTTCCCTCCCTCGACACTCCCACCTAAACAGAGCTGGACACACCCACCTTCCTGACTTTTTCCAAACTAGAGGTGTGAAAACACCCTGCGGAGACAGGTTGGTTTCGTGGCCCTTTAAAACATATTTTAAGAAAAATCTCTATAATTTGACTACATGAAATACCGTAAAACAGTAATATTGTGAAATATTAAACCATTTTAAAAGAACTATTCAATGTAAACATTTTTTAGAATGTGATGAAGTATATATCTCTTCTAGGTACAACACGGACACACACACACACCACTTCAACTCTACCTCTGTTTGTTTGCCAGCCGAGCAGGTTCGCTGCCTTATTTAGTTCGATTGAATCGCACAAGAGTTCGTTTTCTCTTTTGGTGCGGTTCGTTTGGGCAGGTGAGAATGCAGCAATCGTACTCGAGTGCGCACCGAAAGCGGACCAAATAAGCGTACCGAGACCTGCTTGAAGAGGTGGTCTCGATACGCTTTCAAACAAACCCTGGAGCGGTTCGTTTGTGGTGAGAATATGATTCGTACTAA